ATAGCTCTAATTTACTTATAGTCTTCTTAAAATTTGCATATAAACAACGCGCGCCCAATAGAGATTGCTTACGGCAGTAAATCCTGTATTACATTTTTTACAAAAAACACAGGTTGGTTAATTTAGAGTAAAAAAAAAAAGGATTTTTCTTTGCAGAATGAAATGTTACCATTGGATTACTATTGTGCATCAGTGAAAAAGGAATTAAAAAGACGTACATGTAAAGCATGTAATCAATATATTCCATCAGCATATCGTATGAAAAATCATTATAAAATTCATGCACAAAATTATGAAAATTTTGATCATGATCAAGATGATAAATTACCATCACTAGCAATAAATGATATAATAGACAATTCAGATGAAAGTCAATCAATAACAACAGCAGCTTTGGTACCTGTAGTTAGAATCAAAATGTTTGTTTGGCTTCGATCAGATTTTGATGAGTTTGATTCGAGTTCAACAGCAGCACAACTTGCAAATAATAGTGTTACACGTTTCATGAAAAAATTATGTGTTAAAGAAAATAATGATGAATCAGAAAGAAAAGATTTAGTTCATCTAGAATAAAAACATTCAGGAATAAATTGTTAATATTATTATTGTTTACTTTAGCTTTTTTGTAGCATTTTTATTTCGACTAATTCTTTTGTTAAGTGTCTTCTGAAAAAATTTGTCAATGTACGATAAGAATTTTTTCTTGATTTATGATAAACGTGAATATCTTTTAGATATTGAGACGGAAAAGTAGTTTTAAATGTATTTTTAGACGAGAAATCATGTTATTCTTATATGCAGAGTTTTTTTTTCAATGTCAAGAATCAAATAACGCTAATAAAGTTGTAAAATTAAAAGAAAAAAGAAAGAAACGAAATTCATCCTTTCTTACCTGTTCAATTTTAAGATAAGAAACAGTTCTATTGTTTTTTTAAGTTTCAATGAAAACCATTGTTTTATTAGTAAAAATCAGCTTCTCATAAATAATATCTATTAAATAGACTACAACTAAGTTAAATGTATACTGTCGATTATCATTATTACCAATGTATTGACTTTTACCAATTCATTTTGTATGGTGAGAATTATAAAGAAGACTAACACAATCCTTTGCATATTGCATGGTTGATGCACAAAAAAATGTTCGGCAACATAGTTGACACCAATCAACATTGTTAGTTCTCTCAACTTCATGTAAACATCTGCTAAAACTTGCGTAGACTTTGGCCTCATGGATTCTTATGTGGCTCGTTCACAGAATTGACTGATATTTATCCATTCATCTGATTGTCTTTATTGCCCTAACATCTCACATACTGCTAAAAATAATGTTGCTTTGATATTATTGTACAAAGATCGGTAATTTCAAAATTATATAAAAGAGTTTGATTGATAGTCTGATGATTTTTTTTTTAGATGCTTCAAAACAAAAAATGAGACGAATAATATTATCGAGAAATGTCAAGGTTTTTTGTTTTGATTTTCTTGTCTGTCTAAAAATAACTTGACCTTTTTCCTCTTCTTTTTGAAAAAGTTGTAGTTATTTCTATTTCTTTATCTATGAATTGTTTCTCTAATTTATTTGATGCTTGTTTTGGATTTGCTGATTAAGGAACTTGGCCTATAATTTACAAGCTTTTGTTCTTCTTCTTCTGTTAATCCTAATGCGTTATTGATAACTTTTGGAGGAAAATCTTATGCTGTACAATATGGATGACAATACTTAGCTCGACTATTTCTATCTTGAGTTCTATCTATTTTTATTTAATATTTGACTCTTCTTCTCAATGAATCTATATGGTAATTGGATTGTCTACAGCAAGTGTTTACATACAAATCTCAATTCTATCAGTATTTTATTGACTAATTCTTGCTATTCCTTGCCACTTTTGTCTATTTCTTTTGTTGATTCTACTTTGGTTACGGTCAATATTGTTCAACAAGTTACTTTACTGTTCTTGAATTTTCTTCTTAAATAGCTTATTTTCAAACTGTATTTTATCCATGATCTTCGATGGAAGTATTGGCATATTCTCATTGAATCTTCGATCTAATTTATCGAATTGAAATTTTAGTTATAATATCGGTTTAAATCTATCTTGTCCGTG